CATGTCGAAAACAAACTTTACAACTTTGGTGGTGGGGGGAGGATTGGCTGGGGGTGGGGGGAGGCTGGGAAGGGATGGGAAGGGGAAGCAAAGGAGGAGGCTACAATGCTTGATAAGAAATGTACTCATTATCTTGCCCATGTAATTGTAACCCTTCTGTACAGTATTTTTACAATAAAAAAAATTAGTAAAGCCAAGCATGGTATTACATGCTTATAGTCCCAGCACTTGAGCTGTGAAGTAAGGTGCAACCTCAAAAAAGCAAAACAAAACTGATGGATTTGTGATAATGTAGGGAGCTGTGAGCGCATGCCTATATCTCTGGAACTTAGGATGCCAAGTCAGGAGGAAAAAATGGACCCTGATATTTGAGGCCAACATCAAAAGACCTGTCTCAAACACTCTCTCTTAGCACTCTCTCTGAACTTTTTTATTCAGAGGTAGTAGTCTATCACTTGAGCCACAGTTCCACTTTCAGCTTTTTTTAGTGATTCACTGGACATTGGAGTCTCATGGGCTTTCCTGCCAGGGTTGGTCTTGAACCAAAATTCTCAGATCTTAGCCTCCTGAGTAGCTAGGATTACAGATGTGAGCCATGGTGCCTGGCTGCCTTCACTTTATTAAAATGAATAATCATTCACTCTTTTGAGGCAGCCTTACCTAGGCTGGTCTCCAATTCTAGGTTTCAAGCAATCCAATCTTCCCTCCCTCAGCTTTCTGAGTAAAACTGCAGTCATTTGCCATCACATACGTGGCTCAAGTGGTAGAATGATAGCTCTGGAAAAAAAGTTTAAAGACAGTGCTCAGGCCCTGAGTTCAAGACCCAGGACAAGAGAGAGGAGGAGGGAAGGGCAGGGGAAGACGAAAGGGAGAAGAAGAGAGGAGGAGGTGAAGAGAGAGGGAAAGAGAGGGAGAGAAGAAAAGTAAGGAAAGGAAGAGGGGGGATGGAAAAGGAGAGAAGGAAAAAAGAGGGAAAGAAAAACAAGGGGAGAAGGGAGACCTGGAGGAGATGGGGAGGGGACAGAAAGAAGAAAAGGGAAAGGAGGGAGAAAGGAAGAGGGATGACAGGGAGGAAGGGGAGAGGGAGAAGAGGAAAGGGAGAATGGGAAAACAAAAAGCAAGAATCAAATAGAGTAACTAGAGTGCATTCAAAATGAAATCGAGTAACTAGAGTGCATTACTGTTTATTGATCTTTGTTTGAGACAGGTCTTTTGATGTTGGCCTCAAATATCAGGGTCCATTTTTTCCTCCTGACTTGGCCTCCTAAGTTCCAGATATAGGCATGCGCTCACAGCTCTCTACATTATCACAAATCCATCAATTTTGTTTTGCATTTTTGAGGTTGTACCTTACTTCATAGCCTAAGTGCTGGGACTATAAGCATGTGCTACCTTGCTTGGCTTTACTAATTTCTAAAAAGGAGGATTGCATCATCATAAGTTCATGATGTTAGAGTCCCTCTGAGACCTCTCCCTGGGTATCTTCCAGCCATATGCTTTGGTAGAAGGTAAGTGTATGCCTATCAATCTCACCTACTAGGGTAAAAGCAGCTAGACAGATTTTTAGACTTCTCCACAGCAGCTTGCTTTCAGGGATTTCTCAGTATGTGATGAAAAGAAAACAGGTGTAAGCACTGTGGCTGCACATACGAATCCTTTCTCCCTTCTCTCTGGGAATGTGACCTCCAGGGAACTTTCTAAGTCTGTTCCCTGGTAACCTGATCAGGAGGCTGAGATCTGAGGGACACAGTTTCAAGCCAGCCCAGGAAGGAAGGTTCATGGGACTCTTATCTCCACTTAACCAGCAAAAAGCTGGAAATGGATCTGTTGCTCAAAGTGGTAGAGCACTAGCCTTGAGCAAAAGAAGCTCAGGATAGTGCCCAGGCCCTGAGATTTAGCCCCTAGAATGAGACAAAAAAGAAAGACAGAAATCCCACCACACCCCCCAGTAAGCAATACATTATTACTCAAATATAATTTGGGAGATGGAAAGGAAAAAATGCAACTTTTATTATAAATATAACAACTTATAACAAATGCTGCTTAGGCTCCCCACATTAGAATTTATCTAATAATAAGTGCTAAAAGTACACATCTTGGCCTGAGATGTATATTTTTAATTTTTCTTTTTAACATTAATTAAAAAAATGACCTGTAAGTACAAAGAGGTTTCAGTTAATTGTGTGAATTTAATGATACAGGAGTCTTAATAAAATAGTCATGGTCATAATGTAAGCTCTTACTTGCCTACTTCAATGCCCATGTTTGGTTTGGTTTGGTTTGATGCAAGTACTAAGCCTTTGAATTCTGGGCCTCACACTCTTGCTCAGCTATTTTGTTTGTGATAGAGCTGGTGCTCTATCACTTGAGCCACATCTTTATTTCCAGTTTTTTTTTGTTGGTTGCAGGACTTGAACTCTGGACCTGGGCACTGTCCTTGAGCTTTTCAGCTTAAGGCTAGTGCTCTACCACTTGAGCCAACAGCACCACTTCTGGCTTTTTTTTTTCTTTTTGCTTATGTGGTGCTGAGGAATCAAACCCAGGGCCTCATGCATGCAAGGCAAGCGCTCTACCACTGAGCCACCTTCCCAGCCCCTCAGCCAACTTTCTAGGAACTGTGTCTCAACTAAAGTTAAGGCCTTTGGGGAGACTGTGCCCTCTCTCTAGCTCCCTGTATCATGGAGTCAGAGTTTTAGCTGTGGCTTTGGGGTTACTGAAGCCAACCGTGATCTTCTTTGTTTTGAGAGGAGACACCTCATGTGCACTCTGAAGTGAAAATGTGGTCCTATCCTATGCTCACTCCCCTCCTCTCTCTTTACACTGTCATTGTCAGCAACACTCTCTTGGCATCTGCTCAGGCCTCTTCTCTTGGGTGTTTCTTGAAAAAGCCAGAAGAAGATGTCAAAAGAAAGCCCTGACCACCAGCTATAATGTTGCTTGACCATAATACTAACACAATGACCAGATCAATCTCTATCTCTTGGCTTCTCAGCAGTGGCTGTAGGTAGAGGACATTCTGTAGTAGGCGAGTCTTCTGCTTTCCATGTGCAGAGGTTACTTGAACATTTAATTTATACCACAAATGAAATCCAAGGAGCAGAAGATGACAGACACCCAGACCTAGAGACAAGCTGTGAGTGAGTTTCTGCACACCAGGGTTTGCATTCCAGACGATGGAACATGAGTCATCTGGGGTGGGGGAGTTCCCTTTTCTCCATCAAGACAGGGTGATGTTGCTCTTACTTTAGAATGTACCCAAGATGGTACATTGTTGACAGATGAAAATTTGACATGTTCTCTGACCAACAGAAGATATGGAGGCTAGAGCGAGGAAATACAGCTTAGTGAGGATGCTAGCCAAAGTGTAAGGAGTTTCGTAGAAATATAAAATATGATTGAGTTTCTGTATGAATGTGCCAGTACCAGGCCTTGAACTCAAGGCCTGAGGCTCCTACTTTGAGATGTATTGTTGAAAGATGCTTCTTTGATGTCTGAGTTTGTGACCATGGGCAAAAATCATCATTGGTAAGTGACATGGACTGGAATTTTTGCCCTTGATCTGCCAAGATTACAAATCATTAAAATTCTTTTTATTTTTGTAAATATTTTAAATTAAGTGATGGTACTGGGACTTGAATGCAGGGTCTCACACTTTCCCTTGGCTTTTTTTGCTCAAGGCTGGTGCTCTACTACTTCAGCCACACCTCCACTTCAGCTTTTTGCTGGTTAATTAGAGATAAGAGTCTCATAGACTTTTCTGCCTACGCTGGCTTCAATTATAAGTGTGGATCCTCCAGCCCCTGGCCTTTTGTAAATACTTAAATTATAATTCTCTTACTGCTGTGAAGGAATCTGGAAATGCCTGAAATGTATTTGTAGTCCTCATCGCCCTATAGATATTCTCGCTTATTTTTGAGGATGTTGTACTTGCTGTGAAATAATAAAAATTCTAAGTAACAGCTGTAGTTTCAGGTTTTAATAAAACAAATGGTAAGCAGGTCACTAGTGGTTCACGCCTGTAATCTTAGCTACTCAGGAGGCTGAGATCTGAGGATTCTAGTTTAAAGCCAGCCCAGTCAGGAAAGTCCTTAAGTGCCCCCCTCTCTTTCTTTTTCTTTTTTGTCGGTTGTTGGGCTTGAACTCTAGGCCTGGGTGCTGTCTCTCAGCTCTTCAGCTCAATGCAAGCACTCTACCACTTGAGCCACAGTACCACTTCTGATTTTCTGGTGATTGATTGGGGATAAGAGTCCCATGGACTTTCTTGCCAGGGTTTGGCTTTGAACTGTGATCTTCAGATCTCAGCCTCCTGAGTAGCTCGGATTAAAGGCATGAGCCACTTGTGCCAGACAAAACTGCTTTTTTTTCTTTTGTCATTCATAGTGGGGAGGGGGGCTTGAACTGTCCCAGAGCTTTTGTGCTAAAGGCTAGTTCTCTACCACTTAAGAGCCACAGTGCCACTCTTATTTCTAATTAGCCACCAACAAGAGCTGAAAGTAGAGCTGTGGCTCAAGTGGTAGAGGACTAGCCTTGAGCAAAATATGCTCAGGGACAGAACCTAGGTTCTGGATTGAAACTCTAGGTTCTGAATTTTGTACTTAGAACAGGTGCAAAAACAAAGCAAGAAAACCCTAAAATCCAAAACCAAACCAAACCACAACAACCCCCACCAACCCAAGCACTCAATAATACAAACATTTTCTAACAAATTTAAAATTTATCCATGCTAAAAGCTTAGAAAATATGTTCTGAGCAAGCCAATCTGAATTTGCCTCCCTGACTTGGTTTTCTAGGTCCGTCTTCTGCAACAAGTTCTTCAGAGGCCTTTCCAGAGGAACCCTGCAGCCGAGACAGCGGGCTACGCCTCCCCTGCGCCTTCCTGGTCTAAAGGTCTCAGAGTCAGTTGCTCATCTTAATTCAGGAAAAATAAATGAAAGAACACTTTTGTGGTTGAACTCAACCTAAAATAATGTATTTCGTTGATGTGTAATGATTTCACACATTTTGATGATAATTCTACACTTGGTAATAATGATGAAAAATAAAATATCTTAAGCTGAATAAATTGGACCTTGATACAGCTTCATGATTTTTTTTGGGGGGGGTCTGGTCGTGGGGCCTGAACTCTGGGCCTGGGCGCTGTCCCTCAGCTCTTCAGCTCAAGGCTAGCGCTCTACCACTTGAGCCACAGCGCCACTTCCAGCTTTTTTCTTTTTGCTTATGTGGTGCTGAGGAATCGAACCCAGGGCCTCGAGCATGCAAGGCAAGCGCTCTACCACTGAGCCACCTTCCCAGCCCCCATCTATCTATTTTTTAAATTTTGTATGTGCCAGTATTGGGGTTTGAACTCAGGGTCTGGGCACTTTTTTTTGCTCAAGACTGGCACTCTACTACATAGCTCCATTGGTTTGTTTGGAGATAAGAATCTACTGGATTTGTCTACTTGGGCTAGCTTTCAATCTTGATCCTCAAATCTTAGCCCCCTGAGTAGCTAGGATTACAAGTATGTGCTATTGGTTTTCTGGCAATCCTTTATTTTTTATTTTATTTTATTTTTGGCCAGTCCTGGGGCTTGAACTCAGGGCATGGGCACTGTCCCTGAGCTTCTTTTGCTCAAGGCTATTGCTCTACCACTTGAGCCACAGTACCACTTCCAGTTTTTCTGTTTATGTGGTACTGAGGAATTGAACCCAGGGCTTAACGTATGCAAGACAAGCAATCCACCACTAAGCCACATTCCTAGCCCAATGCTTTGTACTTTTGAAAGTCTAGAAGTTCAATATTTGGGAGTAACTGATTTGACAAATACTTGTCATGAGAAGGCAAATGTTCTGCATGTCCATCAAGAAGTGAATCATCTCTGTCTCCCTTTCTGTCATTGCAATCAGTTTTTACTGCAGATTTAACCAGACTTTCGAATAACGACAACACATTATTTGTAGTTGGGTGCCAGTGGCTCACACTAATAATCTTAGCTACTCAGGAGGCTGAGATCTGAGTATTGTGGCTCTGAGACAGCCTGGGCAGGAAAGTCTGTGAGATTATTATCTCCAATTAACCAGCTAAAAAGTCCTAAGTAGAGCTGTGACTCAAGTGGTATAGCACTAGTCTTGAGCAAAACAATGTGAGGGATAGCACCCAGGCCTTGAGTTCAAGCCCCAAGATTGGCACACTCACACCACACACACACACACACACACACACACAAACACACAAAATGATGACAATACCATCTGTAATTGACTAGCTGGAATCGCTCTGTAAAGAAAAAAATAATAGAAAAATCCAGACAAATGGAGAAGACAAAACAAGATGTTAAAATAGATACATAAGAATAAAAAATAAGAGATAAACCTTTCATGCCGATAAAGAGCAAAAGAATAAAAAATTGCTAGCTGTAAGATAAATGATCACTGGAATAGATAGAAATAAAGACAAAATTTATGTATCTATGTTATTTCTAAGTGGAAAAACTAGAAGGTAATGACAGAAACTTTGAAATCTATCATAGGATAAAGAAATTATGGAGATTGAGTGTTATAGCTGGCTGATAAACTACTGTATGAATACATATAAAAAGCAAAAACATCACAGGATGATATATGGTTCAAGAAATAACTAAGTATATTCATTACCTTGCTCATGTGATTGTAACCCCTCTGTACAGTATTTTCACAATAAAAATACTTACTTAAAAAAAAGAAATAGCTAAGTAAATTTTGTTTGCATTTTCTTGACTGTCAGAATATCTAAGGCAGGTATCCCAAGCACTGAAAGGATTTTGACAATTCATGCTTGTTGGAGATTGTATGTCCTTTTAAATAAACTGATGGGAAAAGCCAATCAGATATTAAGCTGGGGAAGATTTAAGCAACATGCTTGCAAAACCAAACCAAAGAAACAATATATCCTGTGTGTGTGTGTGTGTGTGTGTGTGTGTGTGTTGGCACTGGGGCTTGAACTCAGGGCCTGGGCAATGTCCTTTAGCTTTTTCTGTTCAAGGATTGTGCTCTACTACTTGAGGCACAACTCCACTTCTGGCTTTTGCTGTAAAACTGGAGATGAGTCTCTAGGGTTTGTCTTTCGGGGCTGGCTTTTAACCGTGATCCTCAGATTCAGCCTCCTGAATAGGATTATAGGCGTGCCCAGCTCATGTTTTTTCTTTTCCTTCTTTTTTGATTTTTCTGAAAAATTTACAAGTCACATAGAAATGGAAAATAGAACAATAAGACTTAAGGCTTTGGCAAGTTACTACTACTACTATTTTTTTGGGGGGGGGG